ATCTATCTATCTATCTATCTATCTATCTATCTATCTATCTATCTATCTACATCATCTATATATGTTTGTATTATATATTGCAGAAAGTACAACATTTGTTTTGTTGGAGTATAGTTTATTTTTTTACATAATTCCAAGTTTCATGTATTTCCTGCATATGACAAGATAATTATTCTTTTAAGTGATAGGATTCACTTCAGTGTGTGTGTATGTTTATACAACTTTTACACTTGTTTTATTATGTTTTTTGAGAATTTCACACATGAGTATCATATTTATATAATTTTCACTCCAAACATGACACTTTTAATTCCTTGAGGTTACTCCCATACCATATCAACATATGAATTCTTTAATTATTAGTGTTTGTACACATATATGTATCTATTACACACACACACACACACATATATATATATATACATACATACATACACACACATATAAAACATGCTTAGTCCATTTGTGTTTATGGTTGACCAAATAGGGTTGGATAATCTATTAGGGTTTCATCTCTGGAGAGGACTAAGTTTTCCCTCTCTCTTGAATATCTAGCTTTGAGGATCTGTAAGATTCACTCTATCCACTTTGGGATGAAAACAATTCTTTTTTATATACATTTTGTTTAGTTATCCATCTATTGACATGCCCTGTCGTTTTCTTCCTTATGCTAACTTAGGAATATACGTAAGAAACACTGATTATACAGTGGTACTATATTGATGATAGAGGAACACCCACAATGATTTCTCTTGTTGGTATACTATCTTACATTTTCTCTGTGGATGTGTACGTCTGTTCTCCTCCATCCTTCTTAGCATTTACTACCTTTTGTTTTTTTAATGACCTGCATTCTAACTGAAGTGATGGCACGGACTTCCGTTATTCCACTAGATAGGGAAGTCAAACATTTTTATTGAACATTTGTACTGCTTTTCCAAGCTTAGAGCTATATTTGTTTTCTGTTTAAAGAGTCAAATTTAACTGACACAGTTTAAAACAAAACTTTAAGAAACAGTACCCTTATGAAAGGCTCATTTTATCATGTAAATTTATAATATTGATATTAATATTGGCTAACAATACCCTTCTAACCTTTCCACTAATAATAATAATTCAACACTGAAGAGAGTGAACCTACCCTGTAATATCAACACTGTATGCATGGCACAAACAATGGCACCAGAGATACAGATCTAGCCTCTGAGTACAACAACCTTCATTTCCCAAAAACTCACATCATTTCTTAGTCATTTAAGTATATCTGTTATTATAATACAAATTAAAAATAAGGTGCAGTTCTAGAGGTCACATCATAAGCTTCATATTTAAAAAAACATTAATATCAGCACTGCTGTAGGAGGCCCTTCTGTTTTTGTGTTGCTTTCATTGGTTAATGAATAAAGAAACTGCCTTGACCTAGTTAATAGGGCAGAACTTAGGTAGGTGGAGAAGACAGAACTGAATTTTTGGAGGAAGAAAGCAGAGTCAGAGAGACACCATAGATCCGTCAGAGACAGAAGCTGGGAATTTTACCCAGTAAGACACTGCCACGTAGCACTACACAGATTAATATTAATGGGTTAAATTAAGACATAAGAATTAGCCAATAAGAAACTAGAACTAATGGGTCAAGCAGTGATTTAATTAATACAGTTTCTGTGTGGTTATTTTAGGAGTAAGCTAGCCAGGTGGCCAGGATGAACAAGTGGCCCCCTGCAACACAGCACAGGCAAAAAGTCATTGAAAACAAAGTTATGAATTCTATGTGTTTCACATCACAGTGGGGATTACTTCAGGAGTCTACTCTTTGGAGTCACTCAATATTACTGATCTGCTGATCAGTAATACTGGTGTTTATAACATTAAAGTACCTATGATGTCTTTCATTGTATTTGTGCAGTATACATCATTGAACACCTTTACCTACCTGTAGAGGACTCTTCCTCCAATGGTGACAAGGTTGGAGAAGACACTGAAATCTGTCATATTTGGAGGCCACGATTGTATGTTCAGAAAACCTATAGGGATTTCGGAAAGCGAAATCATTTGTGTTATTATTTTTCAATGACACGCTAATTATCATCCAAACACAATGAAAATACATTGAAAGGCAGAAAGTAAGCAAAGGCAATGAAAACTACTCTTGAAGCAGTCAACAAAGTTTGCCTTTAATGATTAAGCGTAATACTATGAGCTTCTGGGGTAAATAATAGATAAATAGTTGATATCAAAGTATGGGATCAAGAATCCCAGGGATTCTTTATGATTAAGGGAATCATAAAGTTGTATGTATCAAATATTGAAAAAGAATTTATTTTATTTTGATAGATACATATACATAGAATTGTTATCCAATTAAGGAGAAAGAATACAGCTCTATTTCTGTGAATTCCTTCACCATTTATTTATGTACTATCACATCTCTATTGACCTAGAAATCTTAAGTTGTCTTTAGCCCTAACCTTTCATATCAGGTTTTATTTCATGTAATGTCAAATCCAAGTTTGATTCATATTTATGAACCCATAAGTTATTATAAAATATTTAAAATAGTAAATGCTCAAAAACTATCGTGCCAAACAAGTGCTACACATTTTCCACATTAAATTGAAATTCTTATGAGAAAGTAAATTCCAAAACAAGTGTCCAAGAGTCACAGAGCTTTTGGTATTTGCAAAAGCAATATTAACAATATTCCAAAGTTTTTTATGTAACTCTATTGGTTTCAAAATATAAAAGCTAATAAATGTTTAAAATCATGTGAGTTAGTTTTTCAAGAGAACTAGAACTTTCCTTGAAAATTAAAGCTATTATAAATATTATGGAATTATTTCAAGAAATGAAAAGGTCATATTTTGCTTGTGGCAAAAAAAATATTAAAAGTACCTGTTATTTCCCTGACTGTCCGAAAGACATTCAGTTTCTCTGGGTCTATGGCTTCAATTGCATTGTAAGGGTCCCTAGAAAATAAGGAAGAGATGCAACAGTATTGAAATTGGTTGTTTTTAGCAGGAAATATTTGCTCCCATCTAAATATAATGTATTTAAGTAATATATATTATTTAAAATTTTAACAATTTCTTAATACAAAACATATACATTTTCAATATTTCTAAAATATTCTTACCTTATGAAAAATGCTTTGAAATTTATGTCTGATATGTTCTAAAGTTTTCATTTAAAAACAACTAATAGAATATTTTTAGTTTTCATATTCCAAAAATATTTATGTAAATATTGGTGATTTTAAATAATTGTGTACCTGAATATTGAGCCCAACATGATACCAAATTATCTCAGAGTTGAAGTAATACTTTCAGTAATTTAAGCAGCAAACAGCATTTATTTGATTCTTTATTTCTTTAAAGGCTTTCCAGGATGTGTGTAGACTTCATATCTTCACAGAAGTGTTAAATGTTATACATTGATCAGATTTCTGTGAGATACTGAACTTTCTCAGAAGAATGAACCTCAGCTTTTCTAGAATCATATAGCAATTAAATGAGTTTTATTCTTCCTGTGAACAATGATCATCTGTTACCATTTCTGAGACCTTTCTATTTTGTTTGTGCAAAAACACAGAATACAGTAACTAAACAGTCTTAATAGGGTTATACACCGAGATACTTTATAATAACCCAACAAACAGGTAGGTATAGGGCATAGCTTCTGGAGCAGTAGTCTTCATCCATGAAAGATGGATTTAAAAGATCATTTTAAGCAACCATGAGTTCCAGTTTGAACTCTCAAACCACCTGACATTGACTTCTAAACTTGGCTCATCAGCATTTTGCCCCACACTGTGGATCATCTCATCTCTTTTAAAAAGGCTTTGCTTGATTAAATTACTTTTTAAACTAAGAAATGCAATCAATGCAATGTACTACTAGTTTAGTGTGCATTGCTGTATAAAGCTCTGGCGTTAGGTATTGCTGAGACTGAGAAACCACAGCACATTTTTCTATAACTCAAAAAAAAAACCCTATTGATCCAGAATATTCTCAGAGTCACATCTCTTAAAAGTATAAAGTCTAAATGTAAAGTTCTCTAAAAAGTGCACTCTTGCGCGTTCACACACTCTTCCATATCTACATGCATAAATGCATGCCTATGTACATATATGTGTGTAAATGTGTGTTACATATGACCTCTTTTGATGTTAATATAGACAAAATAGATACAAAATGAAGTGTAACACATGACAAACTTTTGCATTCATCTTTTGAAATTAATTTTTTTCTTTGAAAATTTCATGCAGACATATAATATATCTTGAACACATCCAATCAAACTCCTTCCTTCCAATTTCCTCCCCAACCCATCCAAAGCATCTCCCTACCTACTCCATGCCTGCCCTATTTTTTTTGATATTAAATATTTGAAAACCCTGAGTCCATAGAGATGCCCATATGCTGTTGGTTGTGGGATCATACGCTGTAATATGGGGCAAAAGAACAGTGACCATCCCTCCAAAGAAAAGGAGCTATCCCTACTGCAGCAGCCATCAACGGCCCTCATCTACTCTGCTAAGCAACCTGCTTGACCTCTGTGCTGTGTTTTTATTTAAAATTGACTTGATATTGTGCAGGTGACCTCAGCTGCTGTTTATTAGTTCATGTGTGCAACACTCATGTTATGTTCAGAAAACATTTCACAGCAACCCTATTTAACATTCAGTTCTTGAGATCTATATCCATCTTTTAATGTGCAAAACTCCTCTATCAGAGGAAATATAAGCTCTGAAATTGGGGAATGGAGTTTTACCATTGCCCTGCCATGAAAAACTAAAAGTATGCACCAATTTTGGCCATAAAAATCTAACATACTGGCATCATAGAAAAAGATTAAAAATTCAGGGCAAGCAAAGAATAAAGGAGTCAGCCAAAGTCATGACTGAAAATTTCCTGGTTTCCAAGATGAAATTAATTGTTAACCAGAAACCCAATGGACCATAGATCATTTATGTACTTAATTTTAGTGATTCAATACTCCTATAAAATACGTTGACAGAATCCCACTTTTCAACTTCGAAGTACCTGTGGGGAGTCTCATCCTAAAGCCACTCAAGAGCCATACTATCTTAGAACTGTTTTTCTCTATTAAATACAGAGCCAAGTAAAAGAAAATTATGACTACCCTGTCACTGTGTTTTGTGTTCAGCATAGAAAGAAAAAGAAATCTAGATGTGACTTTACTATCTGCCACTCCTGTGACCTGTCATGAAAACCTCTTCCTGTCAGTCCCTCTCTGTGACACATTTCCAGCATTCTTAGAAGCATCTTGCCACTGTAAGAGCATGCACATGATCAAGGTCAAGACAGAGGATGAGAGGAACATTCCTTTGATAGCTCTAGACCCTTTGCATGCCAGGATTTCTCATTATAATTAAGGAAATGAGTTGAATTTCCATTCTTGGCAGAGACAATTTTATGGCACAGTATGACCATGCCAATTAACTTTCTTTAGCTTTTTTAAATCCAAGAACGCAATTGACAAATTGCCAAGACTGTATTTTCTGAAAGAAATATTTCTGAATAAAATACCATTTAATTAATGACTTTTGACCTCATCATTAAAGAACTGTGTCAACGAATAATAGTATCTTATTAAAAGTCACTACAAATATGTTGAGAGTAATGGTATTGAAAGTACAGAAAACATTTTATTTACTAGAAGTTTACTATTTATAATATCTAAAGCTGTGACTATTAAAATTTACTGTGCCTCCTGTCCTTCTCCCTCTCCTCACCAGCATATACATACACAGAGACGGAATAAACCACCATATATATATATACATATATATATATATATACATATATATATATATATATAGCCTAGACACATTGAATTGGCTTGATAGTTATAGTTCTTGAAATGAATGGGAAGGGCTTCATGACTTATTCTCTCATGAGACTGAGAATGGAGGAAATATCATATTTCACAGACATGTGTCTTTCAAATATGTCATATATATTTTCCTCCAGACACAATAGTATCAATTTTGACTTCAAAGTATTCAAGCTTTCAAACTTATGATTAAGGACAGATAATCATCTGAACTATGAAGTATCTGAAACCAAATTTGCCTTTATTTGCTTTCTAAGATAGTCTATAAAAGTCTGCAATTAAGCCATAAAGTGATATTTGTTTACCACTTTTCTGCAGTCTAAACTAGACAGTCACAGTGGTTTCTCTTCTGCTGCCTTCTCCACCTGCCGTTAGTGCTTTTCACTTCCTTTGCTATATTCACCTCTTCACTTTCCTTACCTTTAATTCTATTTATTAAGATTTTACTGATGTGGGGCTCAACAAATCAAAATACTTTTTGATTTATTCACCAAAACAAGCAGAAGAGCTATTTATCATCTATCCATTTCCCCAGTCTTTCACTGGAGGAAGGTGAGTGTTTGACAAGAAGAGAATCCGCCTGGCTCCATCACACCATCCATCATTTAGCTGCTATTCAAACTCCACGCTGGTCTGGATGGGGTCACATACATAAACTGTCTCATTTGTCTTCTGTTGAGTTCATTTTAAAGACAACCTTTGGACTTCTAGCCCATGGTGATTTTTGCGGGCAATTCTTTTCCACTTGAATGAATTAGTGATATTATAGTCCAAACAGAATGAGGAATTTAAAGATTTATAGATTTCATGTGGTTCCTATTGTACAATACATTTGACTCCAAGTGAGAATTGTTTCTATTTGCTTTGTAATTATCTGTTGACTATTACCTCAACTGGAAGAACTATGAGTCCATAAAATCCTGATAAGTATAACTTCTCCAAATAGTCCTATGATGAAACAAGGCTTAAACACTTATTCCAATTCTCACTAAATCATTATTTTTTGAATTTTCTCTCCTAGACATTATTTTAAAGAAACTTGGTTGTGTAGGTCAATTTTCATAATTATTTGACTAATATAATTTGGTCCAGTGGTTCTCAATTGGCATAGTACCACTCCATTAAAGGTAATTTGGAACATTTATAGAAATATTTTAATTGTAGTGGTAATCAGGCTTTTAATAATAACCAAAAAACAAGGCTGTTAAAGTCATATTTCATTAAAGGACTTCCCTGTGTTCCCTACAACCTTAAAAATGTGCTACCAGAGGAAACCTCAGATTGCTATTTTTACACTGAATCATCATTTGTGTGTCATAGAAATGTTGTTCCAACTTCAAAGAAACCTAGTCATCTCTGTGTGTGTGTGTGTGTGTGTGTTTGTGTATGTGTGTGTGCGTGTGCATGCTGTGGAATAATCCTCTTGTACACTGTAAAGATTTGTCATTCAAATTGGCTTAAAAATGCCAGTAGCCAGGCAGAAAGTATAGGTAAAGAAAAAAAACTAAGGATGATGGGAAGAAGGGTGGAGTCAGAAGATGCCAGACAGATGTAGAGAGAGGAAGATGAGCATGCCATACTGAGAAGAGGTCCTGCCATGTGTCAGAATTTATATAAGGAATATGGATGAACTTAAAATGCATGAGCTACAATAGTGCCACAAGGTCATGTGCTCAGCTATGTTCATAGCAGGTTTGTTTGTCATAGTCAGAATCTGGAACAACCTAAATGCCCCTTGAATGAAGAATGGATAATGAAAATGTGGTACATTTACACAATAGAGTACTACACAGAACAAAACAAAACAAAACAAAACAAAAAAAGACCCTGACATCTTGAATTTTGCAGGAAAATGGATGTAGCTAGAAAACATTATTTTGTGTGAGGTAACCCAGACACAGATAGACAATTACCACATGTATCCATTCACTCATAGGTGATTTTTAAACATGAATCAAAGAAAGTCATCCTACAAAGCACAATCCCAGAGAACTTAGACGACAAGGAGGACACTAAGAGAGATTTACATAGATCTAATCTACATGGGAAGTAGAAAGTAGAAAAAGACAAGATCTCCTGAGTAAATTGGGAGCATGGGGACCTTGTGGGAGGGTTGAAGAGGAGAGGGAGGGAGGGGAGCAGAGAAAAATGTAGAATTCAATAAATATCAATTAAAAAAACTACATCTGCTTGGGAAGTAGAAAAAGACAAGATCTCCTGAATAAATTAGGAACATGGGAACCTTGAGAGAGAGTTGAAGAGGAGGGGAGAGCGGGGGAGCAAGGGAGCAGAGAAAAAAATTATGAGCTAGGTAATGATAAGCCTGAGCTATCAGTCGAAGATTTAAAAATAATATTACACTTCGCAATGGTAATTTGGAAAACACCTAGCAGGTTTTGGGGACTGTGTGACTCTAAGAAAGAAAACTACTGCTTACATATGGCATTTAAACATTCAGCAAGAATTTTCACATAGAGTCTGAAAAAGCTTTAAAAGGGATAGTAAGAACACAAAATGGAGTCAAATTTGGTTCCTTGGTAACTGCACTTTTGTTGATAGACTCCGTTTGTGATTGGCAAGCAGAGGCACACCTCCTTTAAGAGACAGCCTCCTGACTCAGTTTTAGCAGTAAAAACCATGTGACTCTTTTAAGACATCCTGCAACCAAACACTTAAATAGGATTTATGATCAATGGGTGGCACACTGCTCGTCATCAGCAAGGACTAAAAACTTCCCATAATTGGAGTGGTAAACACGGCTAAATCCAGCAGTTCTGTCAAGATCTAGACTCTTAGAAGGAAAGAATGCAGCAACGTCATTCGCTCAAGTCATGATTTTGGTCTTAGTTGTGCCCTCTTGGAAGTTTAAAGGGTCATGTGGTAAGATAAAGAAAGAGATATGCAGTACAGACAGATTCAGAAGGAAAAAGGGAAAAAATAAAACCACTAAATGGTTTACAGTGTGTTAAAAATGTGTGTAGGCTTGGGAGATAAAAGAAAACAGATAGAAAAAGTCCTTAAAAGTGGAACAGAGTAATAAAGAATATAATAAACCACATGAAGAAGGAAAATACAAAGAGAGTCTGGATTATGTATATTATTAAGTTTTCTTTAGATTTTTTTGACTCTTAATGAGTAAACAACCATTGCTGAGAGACATATGATTATGAAAGTTTATAGATTAACTGAACTACATATTTCAAAAATACCTTAGCTTCAAAATTTCAGTCAAAAGATATGTTACTTGGGGAAACATGTTCTGCTTTTATTTCCACAGGAAGTGAGAGGCTGAAGATCCTTTCTGGCTTAAGAAAAATAAGGCTTGATAGAGAAATACCCCCCTGAAAAATCCCTGATAGGAGTGGATGACCCAGATGATCCAATATCTCAGAGCACCTCTGTCGCACTTTCTTCTGAGTTCTAAATCCAGAACTTGTAGGTGACTTATCGAGGTGAGCCAGCTTCACAGAATACTCCAGTCAGAACTTGACCAAAATTCTAAATTTTCTCAGGGTCCCCCAAAGGTTATCAGTGCCCACAATCAGCAGGAAGTAGCCTAGAAAACTACTCCCACATTCCCCCAAAATGAATTATGGTATTTGTTGTTGTTTAGAAGGTTTGTTTACAAATTGTTATTGGTTATAGTAAAAAAAATAGCTAAACAAAATAGTTAAATTCAAAGATCTCTAAGTGAAAAAAGAAAGATAGGATATAGAAATGATAAAATAAAAAGATATATTATTGAATATACATTAATCCCCCCAAAATAAAACCAGGTATTTATCTCAGGATAAATATTTTATATTGGATTTCAGTTTATTGATACAAATTTAAAGCTTTTCTGGAATAATGTTACATGTGTGGGTAATATGTATATTTAGTTATTTTGTATTTCAGTCTCCAGCTATTAATATGACATTTAATTTCCTGTACTTCCTGCAATAGAATGATTTCTAATATCATTTCTTATAAATCTAAATTTTTATTTTAAGTAGAAGTTGAGGAATTTTCAAGCAATACTATTTATCACATTGAACATTTTCATATTTTGCTGTAATTATAATTAGGAATTGCCTTAATTTTTAAAATTTATGTGTTTAACAAGGGAACAGTATCTCTGGATTTTATTTTGAATTTAATAAAATGTCAGATGCTTTATGAACACACAAATATGAATTTATGTTAGATCTGACAATATCAAAATTCACTTCTTTACTAAAGAAATTACAGTTCATGAGAATGTATTTTGAAATCACAGTGATCCCTGAGGGCTTGAAACAACTACTTTTTATCACATCTGCGATGGCTCATATCACATATGTTGGAAGATCTAGACTCACTTGGGAGGTAAATCTCTAAGCTTACTTGTGAGAGGTAACCTAGATCAGGCTGTCTATGGGTAGACTTGTGAGTACGTATCTTGAATAAGTTAGTTTAGAGGGGAAGACTAACTTGAGAAGTGAACGGCACTGATGGAGAGGCTGGAGTTCTGGGTAGAGTAAAATGCAGAGAGAGAGCCATACACGCAATGTGGTCTGCTGCCTCAAGGTCTGGCTGCCGTGACTTCCTTGCCACGTTAGCTGCACTCTCAAACTGTGAACTAGCATAAACACATCCTCCCTTAAGTTGTTTCTGTCAGAAATTTTCCTCTAGTATGAGGAAAAATGACTACTGTGTTGTCCATGCTGGAGGAAACAATGAGCACTCACTGGCTCCATCTTATTTCTCGGGTCCTCAGATAGTTTTACTGACAGATGCTGTTTTGGGCACAAGGACATTGATTTTTTAAAAAGTAATAATTCACATAAACATATGTCATTTACTGGATGTCACGCAGTCACTGAATTATAAAGAAAGGAAGTAAGTGCTGGCCCAAGTTTTTTGCTGATATGGGCTAAACGGGATAAATCAACAATTCAGATGACATGAGGAAGTGCAGAGACTTTTGTTAAGTTAGTATAATGGATCCCATCTCAGAATGGTGAGAGTTGCTCAAGTATAGCACATCATTGTTACATATGGATGTAGGTTGAGAATCACCAAGTTTTAAATGGAAATTAGAAATCTTAATTTCAAGAGAAGCTTTGGTTTGGCTAAACATAACCAACTGATCAGAAGATACATGTGTACCTTTACAGGACATGACATGGGCTATATTAAAAACAACGTTTTTTAAATAGAGATGTTGTATGCAAGAGCATAAATAATAATTTGTCTGAATGAAGATAAATACTTTGTCACATTGCTCATGCTGCTCTTATTTGGAAATATTTATTCATAATGTGTTAAGCTATTTTGCTTCCAGAAATGATGTGATATATGTTCAGTGTAAGAGTTTGAATTAAAATATGTGAGTGGTAGTCTTTATTGGTAGCCTGTAGCCCTAATATTTAGAGATTAAGTAGTAATATAGACAAATAGATAAAATACAAAGTACAACTATTGACGTTTTTATTACAGAAAGTATACAAACTTGGTTATTTCCCCAGTTAAAGCCAGCAGGCGGTTCTGTAATAAAGGACCCCAGATAATGTAAGAATTTTTATTACCAAAATAAAATCCACTTTATAGTTGTGCTAATTTCCCCATATAAGAGAAAGAAGAATACATCAGAACAAAATGTATTTTTAAAAGCAGCTTAGGAGAATTTCAACTTAATTTTATGTCAGATTCTTTGAGCTGTTTCATGTGAGCTTTTTTAAAACTAGGATATAAGTTATTTTGAACTAATGTTTTGGAAAGTCAAAGGATATTCCTCGTTTCATGAATTAGTGATATTTCCTGAAAACCTGGACTTGTTGAGACAATGGGTTCTAGGAGCTTGTTCTCAAAAAATATTTAAGCTGAATTACAAGTGTGCATTGTTATACCTAATTACCGACCAATCTCAGAAGGCAGATGTGTTGCCGGCACTCCTGAAGGACTGACCATTACATTGGGTGGAGAGAGTTTTAAGGTAAAACTCTTCTAGGTTCAGGTGAATCAACAATACAGGCATGCAAACGGAAGGAAGACCTTCACTTCCCAGAACAATGTATGAAACTGAGTACTGACCCGTGAATCCCCGTGACAAGGAAGATGAGGTTCCCATTGATCTTCGTGCAGTTGATGAATTTGTCAATGTTGCTGGAATCCACAGTCTGAGCTGACATCAATGATCCTGTGCCGATGCCGTCACACGCTATAGAAGCAAGATTCAGAGTAAACAGCAGGGAGCATATTTCTAACTAATATATCTTTGCGTTTTTTTATTATAAAATACTAGCATTTATTTCAAAATTGAAATATCCTTCCTAAAAGACCATGTTATTAATTTCTTTTTATTTTTCGAAACAGGGTTCTTCTATGTTGCCTTGGCTGTCCTGAAACTCACTTTTGTAGACCAGGCTGTAGTGTGGGAAGTCCTTCTGTATATGTGGTGCTTTTATTGGTTAATGAATAAAGAAGCTACTTTCAGCCAATGGCTTAATAGAATATAGTCAGGCTGGAAGAGATATATATAGAGAGAGTAGGCAGAGTCAAAGAGATGCCATGTATCCACTGCTGGGGACAGACGTGCAGGAATCTTGTCAGTAAGCTGCAGCCACAGGGCGATACACAGATGAATAGAAATGGGTTAATTTAAGATATGAGTTAGCCAGAAATATGCTTAAGCTATTGGGCAAACAGTATTGCAAATAATATATTTTTTGTGTGAATATTTTGGGTCTGAGCATCCTGGAATGCACGAGTGTCCTCCTACAACAAGGTTGGCTCAAATTCAGAGAGATCTGTCAGTCTATGCCTCCAGAGTGCTAAGAATAAAGGAATTTTGTGGTTTAAAGGCATTAGCTATCAGGTCCAACCTATCTATCTATCTATCTGTCTGTCTGTCTGTCTGTCCGTCTGTCTATCTACCTATCTATCTATCTATCATCTATCTATCTATCTATCTATCTATCTATCTATCTATCTATCTATCTA